TTGGTTCAAATCTGCAGAAAAACTAGTCAGGATATATCATATATTAAACCTCCGAGCTATGAAACAGTAGTAGGTACCAATAAACTCTAAGCCTGGAAATAATTAGGGTATTCTAATAGTGTACCTTAATACTGTCTGTTTAGACCTTTATTTGTAATGATTTTCAATGATTAAGCCTCTTATATGGTTTAAATAAACAGAGAGTCAGCTCGGAATATGTCATACATCAAACTAATCTATGAAATCATAGCTTGTTCATGTTGATTATTTTGGGCAGTCTTGCATATTTTGCTTTAATATTTCAGAATTATTTACTTCATTTAATGTGGATTTTGTTGTGAACATTTAATGATGCAGCCACCACTCCAGCCAACGAAGCTGTTGATGACTCTCCTACACATACCAACATGGATTGCAAAGCTTCTGATGAAGCTATCCACTTAAAATTGAAGAACATCTGAGAATTTGTCTGACACTAGTTTTACTTCTCTAGATAGATTTTAGTCACGCCATGGACAATTAAACAACTTCCTTCGCCAGAATTGATTGTACATGTAGAGGAGAAGTGGCCACATTGGACATATGTTGTAAAGTGCTGTAGTTTTTTTTACTCCACAGGCAGATTATCATGAAATTTTCACAACAAAATTCATATTGAATGAACTGAATAATTCTGAAGTTTTGAGGCAGAATATGCAGGATTGACAAAGTTAACTAACTTTTCTTCGGTCCTGTTTTTTGGACACCCTGTACCAGTAGAATGATACTAGGCTAATGGTATACTTGAATTTAATTGATTGCAGACCTATGATTTAAGAATGAATTTTCAATGATAACACCTAAGATTGTTCAAACCACCAGAAAGCCAAGCCAGGATATATCATACATTATTTGTTTAAGCTAGAAAACTAATATTGGTACAAATATGTTCATAAATAAGAAATTATAGGGGTCTTCCAAGGGTATACCTATAACTTATCAATTTTAGACATCATATTTCATGAATTTTTTATATTTTAACATGCTTGAAAGCTTAATTCTTCCTAAAACTTAGCTAAAATAAGTTTTATATTTTAGATTTATTCTAAAATGCCAAATATATGAACACAGAGGGATAAATGTTAAAGCAATAGGGGTCAGTTATAGTCACACATAAAATCAGTCCCAGCTAAAATGTCATTTTTTCTTAAATTCACTAATTATTTTCAAGGCAATTATCAAAGGAATTACTTTGATTCTTGCAGGATTAGTAGACCAGGTATTAAGCCTTTTACATGGATTTTTTTTAGCATCCATCATTGTCTAATAAAAAAGTAATGACACGAAAAGTAAAAAATGGGTCATAAATTTGCCCCCTGGGGTACATACTTTTTGCTTTTATTCAAATTTTTTAAGTGTTATCCGTATCATTCATACTTTAAATGTTTATTTTATACAATGTCCATGTATTTCACTTACAAAAACCATAAAATCAAAGTTATTTTAGGTTGACGAATTTTTTCCCCCTGATAGGGGTGAATTTTGGGGGTAGGGGGACTAACATGGTATTTTATGGGTTAAATAATCATATTTCAGCTTGCCAACATGGTTTTTTGGATTCAGCATAAAAAGTTACATTAGAAACACTTGTCAGAACACTTTTAACACTAAACGCCTACCACATTTCCTCTAGATGAAAATGCACCTTGTCTATATAAGTTAGAGATTGGAAATTTCTGGCACTTATTAACCATAACATGCCCTACCCAATATAAAACAATGGATATCTGTCATGCATTAGTATTCTTTTTATAGGGTGGTATTAAAGTACCCCATGGTTTTTGGGGGGTAGTGGTATAAATTGGTCTGAGGGCCGTCTGCCACCCCTATAGAAAGTCCAACTACCCAGAAAGTGTCCAGTATAATCATACAGATGGTTTGAAATAGGTTGGAATGTGTAATTCCATGTAAGGAAGGTTGCATTTCTAGAGCACTTCTACAGAACGGGTTACAGTCTATAAGTATAATGTTAGCAATATATACGAAATCTGTGTTTATCCCTTGGAATATTATTACCCAGCAAACATTGATCAATGTGTATGAAACTGTGAGAGATTACACACATTACACAATAAGCAGGAACATGAATAAAAAATAAGTTTTATAATCCCTTCAATACATTACACTCTCCCATGTAGACCGTTCTGTATTTGTGGTCGTGATGACATCAATACGGAATAAATCATACCATTTCATGAAAAATGGTGACCTTGTCCTACGGAAATTGAGATTATGTTTCACAGCAAGTTCGCACGGCGATACTGTATAGCACATGCTCTGGGGAATTGATTTTACTTTCTATAGACACCAATCACATCTCTGTTGATAGAATTATAAAAAAGCCTAAGGGTCCCAACCTTCTTTGTTTACATTTACAAAAACGTGAAAAAATGACAAAAGTTATGATAACTTTTTAAATCTAAATCTGTTTAAACCGATTTCACTTGCTAGCGACAGATACTTTAGTCTTTCACGAACCGAACATGTCAGTTTGGTTCGTAATATCTCCAAATAAACGATTCCAACATTTTGAAAAACTCAATGCTTGTCCACGTGTTAATAAGGAATGGGTAAACGGTTTCCAAGTGTTAATACGGAATGGGTGTTAAATCGTATACATTCCCAGGAAAATTACAATTTCCACAAAACTTGCAATGATAATTGTTCTGATAGCTTATTGATGGACATTGGACAGTATCTTATTGCATGCAAATGGCACGTTAACCGACGGTGGCAACACGTCCGTCAATCGCAAGGATTGAATGTACATAAATAGTGTTCTCTTTTTTCTTAAGTATTAAAAGATAAATTGTACAGCTTTACGCCCATTAAAGATAGGTTTGTTGTACTTTTCTTATTGCATCTAATAGGTAGTAGTTTACCGACGGCTTCAACGCAGCAGCCTGACGTCCATCAACACCAGATATTGGTTGTTCATAAACATTTTCATTCTTTTTTATTATTGTATGTAACAAATAATTTCATCCCTCTATGTAACAGTTTATGTGAGGACGCCAACTGTTTGGCTTGAAACACAATAGAATCTTGCATCTTGTATTACATGTAACCAGACCAATTCTTGTGGATAGAATAAACATGATAATAAAAGCACCAAACAAACATCTGAGTGTTTTGTTTGACCCAGTTTACCATGCATTAATCTTGTCAATTAGCTGTACTAAGTTTATGATCCCGAATTAATCATGCGCTCCTTATTAATCCCCTCAATTATTTACAACGACGTGTGAACTATCCCGCACCGCCACGCCAAAAGAACTGCGCGTACACGGATGAGGTATGTTATTTTACGTCTGTTTTCAATTCTTATAAGGATACCAAATCATGTAGGCTGGTCAGGCAAACCTTTTTTCGAAGCGGTTATCATACTTTCATCAAAAACATGAACCCGCTTTTCAAGATGCCTCGAGAAATTGAGATTGACATTGGGGAAGAGTAGGAAACAGTCTTCTACAGTTATAACTGATGGCTCCAGTGAAATGGATGGCGATGCAGAGGCAAGTGTATTCCACAATTCAGATACAGACACTTCTGAAACTTCTGGATATGTACACTTGTTAATTTACTCACCATTTGATGATCGTTGCAACTTGCAAGAGCTCTGTTTTTTGTCCAAAACAATCCCTTTGTAATGTTCACCATTTATATAATCATGTCCTGGATCCAAGCTAATAAAGCCACGTGTTTGATTTGTATTTAAGAATTGCTATATTCAGGGGATGGTCTCGTATGGGGTATTTCTTGAAGTGCACAAGAATACCCCACGAAAGTCCCAGTAGGTGTCATATTATTTGGTACTTTGTGAACGTGTTGAGTTGTTTTCTTACCTGCCGATTCCTCCAACACGTTCGCATTACACCAGAGGATGATTGAAGTGTTAAAAATGGACAGCTAGTCGCATTGTCTTTGTGAAAGTGGGCAAGACCACAACAAAAGTCTTTTGATTTTTCTTCATTCAAAAATGTGGATACGCCACATTTTAGAAAGACAATTAGTACCAAATGAGGTTAGCTGTCCATTTGTTCATTTTAATCTAATACAGCAAAACGAAGCTTACATTTTCATATTGTTTCCTTGTGAAATAAAAATTGTAGTATAGTTGTCATTACTTATGTGATATTTTCTATCACCGTGTCTCATGCTGGTACTTAGATGATTTTCTTGCGAAGGTTTTGGTACATTCTTCAGACCGGCATGACACTCTTACCCTCTCCATGTCCCCATGATGAATGAAGTTATAATTGAAACTAAATGCCCATGCTACTTAAACCCGTATTCAGGGTATTATGTTTCATATCCTGGGTTAAAACAGACTAATATTGTATAACACTACTAATTATTGCTTCATTTCATTCACGAGTGCACCGCTTGTTCATTGAGTTTACTTATTGAGTCGACCAATTCCGTATTAACACGGTTTATCTGTGTCACTGACAAGTGAAATCGGTTTCAATAGTTTAAGATTTAAAAAGTTATGACAACTTTTGTCATTTTTTCACGTTTTTGTAAATGTAAACAAAGGAGGTTGGGACCCTAGGCTTTTTTATTATTCTATCGACAGAGATGTGATTGGTGTCTATAGAAAGTAGAATCAATTCCCCAGAGCATGTGCTATACAGTATCACCGTGCGAACTTGCTGTGAAACATAATCTCAATTTCCGTAGGACAAGGTAACCATTTTTCATGAAATGGTATGATTTATTCTGTATTAATGTCATCACGACCACAAATACAGAACGGTCTACATGGGAGAGTGATTAGTTAGGTAGTTTTTGGTTCAGAAAATGGGGTATATCCTGATAGAAATATAGATATACTGTCGGAATATCAGAGATTTAAAGGTGAGATATCATATTTCACATTATCCAAAACCTCTAATTAACCTCCCTTATAATATATTGTGTGAAAGCAGTCATGTATACAATGTTAAAGTTCTACTAACGTATTTATTCCAATGACGTAGAGGAAATGGTTACATAGTAGACGGTACAGTGGATGACTTGGAGACAGCTGACGATTAGTCACTATGCAAACATACTCCATAAGAATATGCGTCATTCCTGTAAATAAAAAATTATAGAAGTATACTTTGCATGATACTTAAAGATGCAGCATTAAATATTGCAGAAGTCATGGACATATGAAATCCTAAATACACTTAATTCATTGACCTTATTTCTAGACCCCTAACACCTAAAATGTCACCACATGCCATTTGTAACAGATGCCGAACCCCGAATGCTGTCTGCTGGATTCCAAACGCTGAACACCGTCCACAAAAAAAGTTGGGAAACAATATGTCACCACTTGTGTTGGTGACATAAAAACATGAGGTGTGACAACCCGACAAGGCCTCCATATTTGATCTACCGAAGATATCCCCTTCATAATGACCTACAAATACCAAAATGAGCTACCAACCGCTGAACACGAATCGTCGAAAGCCAACCAACATCCACAAAAGTTGGATACTATAACAATATGTCACCATTTCTGGTGGTGACATAAAAACTATATTGGAAGCCATCCATCTTCACATCACAAGTCATCGACCACGAGTGCAGCTTACAATGATTATGTGATAAGTATCTCGGGTATGCCGTACGTGTTAAGATGGTGCCTACCTAGGTGAGCTATAGACTGGTGGTAGTTACAATCTGCATTGTTGAACCACATCTTGGCCAACAACCAAGTGTATTCGGGGTCAGACGGCAAGAAAACCTGAAATGTGAAGAACAATGTACAAATATGAATGAGATACAGGTATGCATAAAATATTCATATCAAATCAAGACCAGCCTGATGTTACTTGTTTTCCTGAGAGCAAAGAGAAATGTAAAGATGAATTTTTGGCCTTTTCTTTCATGCAGAAAGCCGAGTTGTTGCAAAGGACTACAATATACATTGTATGAATATTCAACATTTCTGAAAGAAATAATAGTCAATAAAGTGGCTACGGACATAAATAACTATAACATTTCAACAAAACATAAATGCTGTCATTGTAAGTATTACATGCCTGTATAGTCTTGCCTCAAGACTGAGTAACCCCCCGTCCCACCCCCCCATGTGACTTGTACTCCACCTTCCCTTGCGTTGGGGGTAAACATTCTTGAAGCAAGACTAATGCTTGTAATATTAACTTGGGTAGAGCAAAGGTAGGTGATACAAATACTTACAGGGTTATCATCTGAGGGTGTCTGTTCTAGCTGGATGGCAATTGGTAACAATTTTCCTCTGCTATTCACATAAAACAACCCAAGGGGTGCACACAACTACAGAATACATGGCATAGATAGATCAATGGGGAGATTAGGGGACACACGTAGATATGATAAAATTGAAAGTGGCACAAGTGTGATAATGTGATAATATCTACAGAGATCTATTGACAAGAGTTTATTATACGTATGGCAATACAGGGTGTCCACAAAAAAAGTATACCCAACTTCAAAGCCAGGATACCAGAATTCTGAGCAATTTTTAAGAAATTTAAAGGCTATAGTATAAAGCCTAGTTTATGTTCCATCAAATGGTACCTAGATCATTATGTAACTGTCATGGGTGACTGAGCAATCAAGACTTTTATGAGCGGTGGTAAAATCAGCACTGTGCCAAGTTAGCATTCAAGTAGGATTGACACAATGAATGTTTTTTTGTGTTTAAAAGATTATTAATGTTCAAATTCAAACTTGTCCCATGTTCTTCAATCTTTCTGCATAATTTTCCATAACTTTTTATTGTTACCTTCCTCTCGGGAATTGGATCACAAGAGCTTCTTGAACAGCAATGAAACTTCTACTTGATGATATGCAGCCTTGAAGTCAATTATATCCCCCATTTAAGTCAATACACCCTTGCTGAAATCCTCATTTTCTCTGAAGAACTCAAGTTGATTGAGTCTCAACAAGTAGATTCATGTTGGACAGTATTGCTAGAATCCATTTTCAATAGTAAGAATAGGGGTTCTTAAACAGTACCTGGATTTGCTTTTTGTTGGCTCTACTGCTCAGGTGTCAGTTGAACCATGTTTGCAGGCCTATTTTAGAGTAGGTATGCTTTTTGCCAAATCTTTTTTTCATAAGAGAGCTACTCAGCCCCCAGTCCAGTTCATTATGAAAGTCCTGTCATCTAACATAATGTAACAGAAAAAGAATACTAAGCCAATTACACATCGATTGCCACACAGGAAGATAACTTGGCACAGTGCTAATTTTACCACCTATCAGAATGGTCATGATTGTTCAGTCATACATGACAGTTACATAATGATCTAGGTACCATTTGATGGAGGACAAATAAGGCTTTTTGCTGTTACATTTGGATTTCAAAAAGATTGCTCAGGATTCTAGTAATTTGGTTTTGAAGTTGGGTATACTTTTTTTGTGGACGCCCTGTATTAACATGAAAACCTTTATGGAACTACATGTCTAAGAATATGGAAGCCATGCAAAGCTATATATGGCTATGACAGAGACAACAAGGCATAAACATGCAAAATGTCACCACCTGCCATTTGCTACAGATGACAAACTCTGAACGTCTGGATTGAAATTTATGTCCGAAAGGTTATGTGTTTGATAAGGTTATGTGTAAGATGTACATCAAAACTGAATGAAGCTAAAAAATGATTATAACAAGAATCGTACATATCTGTCATCTGTTTTTGTGATATCATCCAGTATTTTGTAGTCTATGATGTAAATCTTCTTGGTATCTAAACACTCTTTAAGGGTCTGACCTTCAAGGAATGGTTCAACCATTTCAGGTGTGACTGAAAACCTGAAATAATAAAATCACTGAGACGGCATATGGCTCAAATAGAAGATACATATACACAGATACATATACATACATATGGAGAAGACAGCACCCAACACAAGAGAGATTCACTTGGCATAACCCTTCTTATAAAATACAATGTCGCCTGGACTATTTTTTTGTCTCTAATTTTCTTGATGATGTCACCGAAGCAGACATACTTACTGCACCTTCTCCAGACCACCTAGCAACAACTCTTACGCTACAAACAAAAGATTACAGAAAACAAGGACCAGGATTTTGGAAACTAAACACAAGCTTACTACAGGATAAAGAATACCAAGAATGCATCAAAAAACAAATAGAAGAAACAAGGAAAATGTTCAATGAAAAGGATGACACTAGAGTTATATGGGATTTTTTGAAAATGGAAATAAGAAAAGCAAGCATAAAATTTTCTAAGAAAAGAGCAAAAGAAAGAAAAGATGAAGAAAAGAGACTACTTAAGCATGCTTTAGCTTTAGCACAAATTGAAGTTGACAGATTATCATCCCAGGAAAATATTAACAATTTGAACAGATTGAAACTAAAATTAGAAATGATTCAAGAGCACAAAACAAAAGGAAGTATAATACAGAGTAGAGCAAGGTGGTATGAAGAAGGGGAAAAATCATCGAAATACTTTTTTCACCTGGAAAAATCTAATTCTGTTAATAAAGTAATAACAAAGTTGAGAACGGCTAATGGGAATGAAATTACAGATCCAAGAGATATATTAACAGCCCAAAAAGAATTTTATCAAAATCTTTATACATCATCGTACATAGATAAAGATGAAAATATGATCAAACGTGTTACAAATGAGTTTCTAAATCAAGAAGATATACCAAAAATTAACAATGTTGACAAACTAGAATGTGAAAAGAAAATAAGTCTTGAGGAGTGTTATAAAATGTTGAAATCTTTCAAGAAAGGAAAATCCCCAGGGACAGATGGTCTTCCATCAGAGTTTTATTTACAATTTTGGGATGAACTTAAAAATGATATTGTTAACACATTTAATCATGCTTTAGTACAAGGAGAATTAAGTTCTAGTCAGAAAAGAGGTATTATAAGTTTAATTCCAAAAAAGTCAAAAGATCGTTATAATTTAGCAAACTGGAGGCCCATAACACTACTCAATTGTGATTATAAACTGTTAACAAAAATTTTAGCACAGAGATTAAGAGGAATACTTCCAAAGATTATCAGCCCGGAACAAACAGGATACGTAATGAATAGATTTATTGGGACAAATGTCAGGCTCATCAAAGACATTATGGATTACACAAATAACAATAATCAAAAAGGTCTTCTATTATTTTTAGACTTTCAAAAAGCTTTCGATTCTGTCGAATGGAATTTTATTGAAAAAACATTGGAAGCCTTTGGATTTAGCAATATTTTCATTAATTTTTTTTCAAAGTATATATAAAAATTCAAACAGTTGTGTCATTAATAATGGTGAGTCCTCTAGCTTTTTTAGAGTTCACAGAGGAGTAAGACAAGGCGACCCCCTGTCAGGATTACTTTTTATAATGGTCATTGAGATTCTCTGCCTTGCAGTGAAACGAAATACAAATGTTCAGGGTGTTACAATTCAAGATCAGGAAATAAAGGCATGTCAGTACACCGATGATGTTACAGTTATACTTAAGAATGAAGAATCTGTAACAGAAACAATGAAAATCTTAGAAAAATTCGAAGTTTGTTCTGGCCTTAAATTGAACAAAAATAAATCTGAGCTGATGTGGATAGGAAATGCAAAAAACAAAAATGATAGTATCAATGACTTAAAAACAGTTAAACAAGCTAAAGCCCTTGGATATTGTTTTACATATAATGAACAAATTCACATCAAAAATAACATTTTAGATAAAATACAAGTGATGAAGTCAAAACTTAATACATGGAATGGAAGAGATCTAAGTATAAAAGGCAGAATTCTTTTAGTCAAATCTATTGGTATATCCCAGCTTACTTACATTTCAGCAACTTCAGTGATTCCAGAGAAATATATTAAGGAAATTGATGATGTTATTCTAAAATTTATTTGGAGGAATAAACCTCCTAAAATCAAGAAGAAAACTTTAATTGGAAATATTTGTGATGGAGGGCTAAAAATGGTTGAATTCAAGCTCATGGATCAAGCCCTAAAAGCAGCATGGGTAAAAAGACTGACCAACAAAGAGGCAGGGCTGTGGAAAACCATACCCAACATAATGTTTGCTAATTTTGGAACCAACATCATATTTGAATCAAATTATGATTATAAATCATTAGACTTATCAAATGTTTCAACCTTTTATCAAGAAATCTTAAAAACATGGAGTATAATTATAGACCAAAAAGTACCAACTGACAAAGCAAGTGTCAAAGAGCAAATAATTTGGAATAACAGGAACATCCTGATAGGAAATAAACCAGTTTTTTACAAACAGTGGAATGCAAAGTCCATTAATAAAATAAAACATCTCGTCGATATGAATGGTCAGTTTATTGAGAAAAATGAAATAGAACAATCATATAAGTTAAAGATAAAAGATATGGAATACAACAGCATAAAAATGGCAATACCAATAAAATGGAAAGATATTTTAAGAAAACCAAGTGATTCAAATAATGCAAGTAGTGAGCAAAAGTCGGTGTCTGTTGAGAATGTAACATGTAAAAAGGCATATGCAATATTAAATCAGAGAGAATTCGAAGCACCCACCTCTTTGTTTAAAATAAAACAATTCATAGATGAGCAGGAGATAAAATGGTATTTTCTACTGGCAAACAAAGTTACAAAGGACTCAAATATTCAAATTTTTCAATTCAAAATTCTACACAATACTTTAGTGTGTCAAGATAAACTATTTAAAATGAATATAGCAGATACAAATCTTTGTCCATATTGTCAACAAAGACACACAATCAAACATATGTTAGTTGATTGCATTAAAGCTCAATTACTGTGGAAAGAATTTACAACTCTTATGGTAAGTGATAAGAAAATTAAACTAAGTGACAAAGATATATTATATGGCCATCAACCTAAGGATGATGAATTTAATGTTTTAAATTTAGCTATTATTTTGATGAAACATTATATATACAGAAGTTTTATTGATAAGATAGATGTAACCTTTGTTGGATTTAAAATATATTTTAAAGATTATATTACAAAATCAACATTTTTAAGGGAAATTATAAATTACAAGAAATAAATAAAATATTATAAGATTTAACTATATGTAGGTACTGTTCAGTAAAATTTGGGTGAATGTGTGAATGAGTGAAAATGAATGGCAGAATGAATGAGGTATGAATGCTAAATTGTTTTGCTTCTGTTCATACCACACATATAACACAAAACAAATAAATCTGTTACAAATAATACAACTATATATGTACTGGATCACCTAATGATACAAAATACTATTTAAGTTAACATTCTAAGGTGCATACTTTTTCAGATTACAATATGTTTTAACAATAATTGAATGTATGATGTGAACAAAAATGAAATAAATTGTGAAAAGGAAAAAAAATATATATATACACAGATACAATATAATAGATAATAATCTAAAAAACAAACATTAGTACTTGTAAAACAGGATACAATGCCTTTTTGAAAATTGATTTCATTGTGATGTTATTATTAGATTCCTTACTTGTCTGGTATTTGTTGACATAGATGTATGACAGCTGGGTTGCATCCTTTCAGTTTTTGTGCCCCAAATGCCTCATCGTCTTTCCAGGTATGCATACCCTAAATGTGTATGTGGAAGTGACACCATATAAAGAAAATATTAAGCAAAAATACCCATCAAGCCTGAAAGTTTCTCTTTAACTTTTTTATATGGTAAGATGGTACCATGATTTTTAATAACCTTAAACATTTTGTACCAATTATTTTACATGTATTTTGATTACTTTTTGAAAAAATAACAATTTCTTTTTTGTGTATAAGCCACTCTATAGTGATGATAATGGGAGAGAAATAACATATTAAAATTCTGAGCTTAGTTTGTTTATCTGTTTTCAAATTATCATGACGTCAAATCAATAATCAGACTTTATACAAAACAGATTAAAAAAAGTCTTAGCACAAAAAACTATCTTTAATACCCAAACTACATGTACATGTATAACTGAAAATTATATGAAAACATTCATCTGGAATCCTAAACAAAGAACCATAGATATCAATCTACATGTATAAATAAATGAAAATAACCTACATCTGGAATCCTAAACAAAGCACCATATATATCCTTCAGGTCATCTAAGCACTCAAACTCTCCCACTATTAGATCCAGTACTTCTGAAGATAGTTTCGCTTTAGCAAGGACAGCCATTAAATTCCACTAAAATTGGAAATTTATTATGCCAAATATTATTTTGGTTTATTACTTAGTAAAAGAAGAATCAGAAATGGAGAGTACATTTTTAATGCTTTTTTAGATCTTAAAAATGCTTTTTGCCATAGATATGTTTTGCTTACCTAACATAAATGTAAAAATTATAAAAATATTTAAAATAATATATTATGATATACATTATGCTATACATTTTGTACATCATTTTGATTTATCAGAAAAAGAGAGTACATTTTAAATGCTTTTTACCAGATGTTATGCTTACCTGATATTAAAAAAACAGGGTGGTCCAAAAAAGTGAACCCCTGCAATTGGCTATATTTCCCTTATTACATGCAGGAATCCTTTCATATTTACATGTTGTAGAGGAAGGTCTAAAATTTTAGATGGTACCATATATTTTTGTAGTCTTGAAATTTGCAGAAATTATAAGCCCTATCCAAACAGCACTGAAAATCGATAAAATGTGAACATTTGCGATTCTTCAACCCTTCAACAGTCTTCGTGTAGAAATTGTTTTAGCCGCAGTCTGAGAAACCTAATGTTTTCTGACTTTGTCTGGATTTGAAACCTGCACATTATGGTGTAAAAATTAGCACCCCGCCTCCGTCAGTTAACAATTTCCATGCATCACATTTGTAAAGTTTTGTACAATATCTAATTTTAGGCATGTTTTTGAAAGTCTTGTAATTTCTTCAAAATTCAAGACTGCAAATAAATTATGGCATCAACAAAAATGTTAGACCTTTCTCTACAAATGTGATGATACGATCCAATCATGTATTAAGGAAAATATAGCCTTTTGCAGGAGTTCATTTTTTGGACCACCCTGTACATAAAAGATATTCAAATTAATACACTTTTAGACTGTTCTGTTTGATTACTTTTAGATACTGTAGATTTGAGAATCAAACATTACCTCATATTCTTTTGTGAACATTTCATCCACTGGAATATCTTTTATCTAAAAGTACAAAATACCGATTTTAATTGTCCATTTTATCATACTTCAAAAACTCATCGCCAACAGGCACAATCACTACATTCCTAGGACAGGTCCAAAGCTTGATGAAGCAAGAAGGCATAAACCATTACTATTGACTGGAGTATATGCATGACAGCAAAAATTGACTTCCAAGGCTAATAGGATTTGCCAAGGGGGGTTCACTTCATGGAAAATTCCCAAATCACTTAAAAAATGCTTAGAATGGTGAAAACTGCATGTTTTTGAAAGAATTTTTGTCCAGGGGGAGGGTTGCTAAAGCCCATCGAACGTTCTGGCTACGGGCATGGGGTTCAATAATGGGTCCAAATAAAACAAGACCAATAAGTCTTGCTTCTGGTCCGAAGAGTAACATTTAAAAATAACTTCAGCTTAATAAAAGAGCACTGATTTTTGCTGAAAATCACCATTCTCAAAAATACAGTTACAATACAAAGTCTGTGTAAAGTGTAAAGAGACTTTATTGACACCCTGTGGTTCGATGTTGACCTATCAATTATTGAATTTCAATAGAAGTAAAAATATTGCTAAAATACCTGCGCTGGCCCCCCTTCCAAGTTCACTTTAAACTGATATTCAATCTGCTTAGCTTCAAGTTCTCGCTTTCGTTGTTCAAGTTCTGTGTCATGCTGTGGTAACAAAGAGTCATATTCCTTTAGTTTAATGGAAAAGCCTGCTGGAACCCACCGATGTATGGGAAATATTGTTTGGTCCTTGTCTTTACATCGCTCAACTACAATTTTCTCAACATACCTGGAAAAAGCATTGTGATAAATAGCAATTGAATGATTATGCGTTTTGTTTTTAAAAAGAAGATTTAGAAAGATCTTTTTTAAAAAGATCGTTTTTATTTTAGATCCTTTTCATGAATATGTAAACACACAAGTGCAAAAAGGGAAAAGACCAATTTACAAAATACAGCAAGAAAAAAAGAAGCAATGTAAAAATATAAGTTCTTGAAAAATATAAAAGGACAAGGATGTGATTCGAAGCATCACATTTGTTCAGAATTAAATAAACTTTTTTTTGTTTATACCATCTTCAGTCGTGAATCTGAGTGCTGAATAATGGAGTTTCACTTGAATGGGACAGCAACTGTGGCCACTTACCAGGTATCATTACTATCTGTCTTATCCCTCCAAATGTCAAGCTGTGTAATATGCTTAAAACCTGAAGAGTTTCCAACTGAAAATGTATCAGTATGTCCTAACTCAAAGTCATCCTTCAATATCTTATCAAGTTTAAAATCACTGGATCGTTTCCCATTTTCATCGGTCAATGCGATATAAACCTGGAACATGAATAGAGTTAGTTGATGGTTCAGGGAAACATTTTTGAAAAAATTGCTATACCTACCCATGTTATTTTTTGGTGCAAAATTAAGTATGAAGGAATCTGTGTTTTTCCTTGTTTTTTTCAGTTAAGTATCATTACATTGCCTTCTTTTAGTAAAACTGGTAAGCGTTCTATGGAAACTCGAGGGAATGCCGATATTTCAAGAAAATGGGTACCTTTTCCAAATTTCTTCTCAAAGTTTCTCAAGAACACTAGATTGCTTACAAATCATTTCTAACCCACTAAACATAAGATGCAACAAGGATGCTTTCCAGAGAAAATAAGGATATAAATCATAACTTATTTTGTACCACAAAATAACATGTGTTACCCTTTGCATTCGTTTGACTACACTTCTTAAAAGAGAGCTTCGTCTTAACTAGACTCTGCACGCAGGGTAAACATGTGTAGGTTTAGCAATTTTCAAAAATGTTTTCTTGAACATGTGCATTAGCAACCTAAAGCAAACAGTATATATGTGGAATAAGCACATTTTTAAATGTGAAGCATACACAGACAAGGCATAAACATGCAAAATATCACCACCTGCCATTTGTTACATATGTCAACCGCCGAACACTAACCGCCGTACACCACACACTGACCACCGAACAGTCCACAAAAAGTTGAAGACAATAACTTACAATGTTCCAACCAAGTTTAACATATTCTGCCCAAGTATTCAAAACACCATTGGAAAGGTGGGAGTGGCAGTTTTATAGATCTGACCTACTAGTTTGACTATACAGGAAATTAACAAGTAGACTAATAAGAATTGTAGATAGCAACTAGAGACTACATGTAGACAGACTATTGATCTTGATCCACTGTTCAAATCTTAGAAAATCTTCAAGTGTGAATTAAGTCACAAAACAAATACCTTGAAAATCTAAAATAATTTTCACTCACATTTCCATCCGTGCCTGCTCCCTTTTTATCTCCAGTCTTAACAGAGACATCATAATCATTTGAGTTGCACTGGCCCATTCTCCTTTACAAACTTACTGTACAGCAAATACTTAACCAATATGAACATGTAACTATCTCTATATTCAAAAAAATGTATAAGCTCGATCAATTTTTTGGCAAGCGCACTTAAATAGGCCAATAATCACAGCCAGATGATGTACATCTCAGCAATCACCCTGATCTAATTTATTTCTCAAATAATGTATACACTACCACATTTTCAGACAAGCTACTTTTTTGATCTAAGAATTCAGAATTGATTAGTATGGGTATGCTGAGTAAATTAATTTTTTTATTGCAATTGTATGATTGTGTTGGCCTTATTGGTATACAGTAAACCAGGTCCTTTAGCTTACTACATTCCCTCACTAATTTCAATTTAAATTCATTCAATCAATGTTGACTTTCTTTTCATGTACTCAGCATACCCATACTAATCAGTTCTGAATTCTTAGATCAAAAAAGTAGCTTGTCTGAAAATGTACATGTGGTAGTGTATACATTATTTGAAAAATTTAAAGATCTTTACAATCTAGCTGTTTAGTAACGCCTGAATATCCTAAAACCTTTCTGATCTGAACATCTTGATCTTATCTGCACGCTTTTTGGTTCAAATCTTGTAACATGCATCTCCCATTGATTCACATATTAAGAAACATTGTTATTTAAACATCTACTAATCGGAACATATTTTCCCAGTCCACGTGTGTTTAGATTAAAGAAGTTTTACTGCATAGTACAGGGTGTCCAAAAAACAGGACCGTAAGAAAGTTGAATAATTTGGTCAATTTTGCATATTTTGCCTTGAAATTTTAGAATTATTTAGTTCATTCAATGCGAATTTTGTTCTGAAAGTTTGATGATAATCTGTAGGCCTACATTGTTTCAAAAACTACAGTACCTTACAAAACATGCTCAAAGTGGGCACTTCTCCTCTTATGCACAAATGAATCCTGCAAACAAAATTGTTAATGACCCTGACCTATACACATCAAAGTGGATGGTACATATTGGGGTACTTATTCACATTGCCCTCTTAAGATTTTAGGGGCCTGTCAGTATACACATTGGCTTTGAGAAATCCCTAAATATAAAAATCTGAGGGATTTAGATCTGGCGAATGAGCTGCTCATATGGTTTGCGTTCTGCGACTGATGAGCTGACCACATAAGCATTGCCCAAACCATTTCAGTATATCATTTGCAGTGTTGGGGTGGTATTGGCTTGTTGAAACCACTCCTAAGATGCCCCTCAGAAAGAAGCCGGATTGAATCATGCATAGAGAGGGGTGTAGATTTGGGCATGTTTTGTAAGGAAGTGTAGTTTTTGAGTCAATTGGCAGATTACGTATTATCAAACGTTCACAACAAAATTCACATTGAAATAATTATGCAAAATTGTCAACTTTCTTACGGTCCTGTTTTTTGGACACCCTGTTATATGTACTTATCTTCATTATGCACCAGTTGCATTAGTTACAATACTTAACCAGACTTCACATAGCTTTTTTAATTTTTAATGAACTATATTTTCATTAGTTTAGTTGGAGTTAGTTAGAATCATAATCATTGGGCACTAATTGCGTTAGAGGCCATACTATATCAGTTTATATACTTTATACGTGCAAAACATTATTTATTAATAAACTGCATAAGTTACAATACTTTGTTAGAATTTATATAGGTATAGTAGTCGAAGAGAAGTGAGTCTATATACATTTTTATGTAAATACTTATTATAGTCTTTACGCACTTATTGCATTAGGTACAATACTTGGCAAGAGTATTGAATATGTGTTGTCTCTTGTCTTGTTTTTCTCTTTCATTTCTTCCTCAATCTCAGCTAGCTCTTTGCGGAAACTAAAACAGATGTTTCAATACTCTGATACTCAAAACAAAAACAATTAAACTTAGACTTTTAATTTTTTGTTACAACAGTGGGTATGTGACTCACACATTTACTCCCTCCAAAATGTTGTAACTTTTGGACCACTTTTTAAGCTAGTTTATATTTCTCGATTTAATCAATATCATAACCTGTTGAAAGTGAGGAATGAAGTAAAGTTCAAACATTAATTGGGTTTGACACACTATCCAATATTGGAAAGTTCTGTTGCCAAATCTTACGGAGAGGTGTATATGCCATACTATGTATGACTAAATTTCAATACCACTTTTTCATAATGTTTTACCTTTCCAATGCTTTCACTGAGATTGGGTCGTAGTTGTACTGAACCTCAAAGTATCCTAGTGAGTTCAGTCCAGTTCTGCTCAAGAATAAGTCAGCTAGAAATGCAACGTCTAATACTCGTGTTTTGCTTATCAGGGCGTTTACAAGATCCTGCTCATTTCTTGCTCTCTAGAAAGTATATGGTACATACTGTATTATACTTTAAGACCTACAGGGTGGGCCAATAAAGATGGCCGCATGGAAAGTTCACGGAACGATAGGGTGGGCCAATAAAGATGGTCACATGGAAAGTTCACGGACCGATATGATATACAGTATAGTTTTGGCCAAACGATAAAATTATGTCAAAGCATGTGCGTATACCTTATCTCTGGGAGGGAGGCCTTCCAAATAAGTTGGATAGTTTGGTGGATATGCAAATTCATCGTACTGTGAGTAATTCACTGCAGCATGTTGTACGCTTGCTTGAAATACTAATGGTGTCACAATGGCACAGATGGCATCAACTGAAGTCAGCTTTTCAGGAAGGCCCTGTGAAACAATTACTTTCGTAAAATTGCGAATTTCATTAAAAGTTTGCATTTATTTATAAGATTTCAAAATATTATATCGAAAAACATAAGAATCTAGCTTATCCCATACATATAACTTATCCTTCAAGGATTCAGGCTGGACTTCAAAAATTAAGACTGGGCCTTGTTCTTACAGAAGTCTAAACTTACATTTAATCCAGGTCCTTCTGGTGGTGACCTGAGCTCTTGCAGCCAGTTGTGAACCTCATAATCATCCACAAGTTTTTCAGGAGAATCATAAATCCCTGTAAGAACTCTCCTGATGTATTTCTCAATGGCTCTATACAATAACATAGCATCATCCCTGTAGTGGTAGTTGGGCAAAGCATTCTCGTCATCTACCTAAAAAGCACATAGCAACCGTGGTAATCAATCATATCCACGATCTTTTGTTTGGTTCATCATTGGCTCATACTATAGCACAGGAGCAACAATTTGACAAGTGTTAAGCTTTAGGACATTTCGTGATACCATACTTTTAAATCATACTCCTTTATCCCAATCTTGATATCTTGAATGGCGATAAAACATTTTAAATTATTGTAAAAGTATCCCTTATTTAAGGAAGTTAAAGCGACTCTGGTTGAAGGCAATCTTCCATCAAAAGTATGCCAAAAAGACACACTTAGAAAAAATATTTAATAGTAATACCCAACGTTTGAACATTGATACATACTCCTCTATCTTGTAGATCATTTGGTAAAGTTCCCTCAACATTCAGTCTCCATTTAGGCCAGATACGGCTGTTTATTGTGATGAAACCATGAGATCCTAAAGTCAGGTTCTTATCCATCTCAGACATTAGTCCGGGAATGCCACCTCTGATTATGATATTGTAAATCAATTTTCATTCATCATTTGGCATACAATATGCAATATATCTATTCTGTAACTTCCGGAACAAATGTTTATTTTGATATATTAATAATTATCAACTTTTAATTGGTTTTTTACACTTTACCCTACTATCACACCAAACTAGTTCTCACTACGTTCTCGAAAACGGGCTTAAACTGTGCACGAACGGATTTGACGTACTAAGAACCCACTAAGAACCGTTTGGGATTTGTTTACAAACTTCATGAAACTACTAGAACGAGTAGGTCCTCCAGAACTTAGAGCATGCTCAAAATTTTCTGGTGAACGTCAAAACGTTGCCGAATCGGTTTTAAACTGTGTGCGAACTGAATGAACGTAACTTCAACGTACGGTCTGTTTACGAACTTCATGGACTTTCCCGGACGGGGAATCACGCGGTACAAACTTCGACCGTTAATTTGAATTTTTGACCTACCAGATGCTTGAAAATCAAGGATTGCGAGTCTCATACTGCACCGTTTTTCTTCAAACTTATACCATTAAAAGCAAAACAAAATTGCCTTTCTGTCGGAGCATTACTTTATTGTAAAGAGTCCCTCGTTCAAGCAGCGTTTTGGTCCCCAGCTGTTAGAAGGCCTTCTTACAGCTGGGGACCAAAATGCCGCTGGAAGTAGGGACTCTGTTTAAGAGAATAATGTACCATTAGAAAGGGATTTTTGTGATGCTTTGAATGGAACAAGTTTGAAGAAAAACGGTGCAGTATGAGACTCGTAATCCTTGATTTTCAAACATCCGGTAGGTCAAAAATGCAAATTAACGGTCGAAGTTTGTACCGCGTGGGAATGTGATTTAGAATTTTGAATCGATTCAAAATTCGATGGCGACCATACCGTTCTGTAATCAGGTCATGATGACCTTCTAGACTAAGGGACGGTTTATACTACGTTGCACACCGACGTGGTGCGACCTGAACGAACTGCGAATGAGATGAACGTATTGAAGACTGTTTATGAACGAAGTAGCTAATTATTTTAGACATATATCCCGACCGCAGCCAGATTGAGCCCGTTTTACGACATTTTCGTAGGACTGCCAAGAACGGGTAAGAACTAGTTTCCAACTGATAGGGGGTTAGGTACTAAAAACCTATTCCTTCAGTCAATCTCCCACATTATTATATCGCTGCCTCTCAATCGTATATCATTTGTTAAAACCGGTTCACGTGTCATGAATTATCAGCCGATATTTTTTAGCCGTGAACATATATTCTGATATTCTTTCTGCATTCAACTAGAAATATGAAAGAAGCTAATATAGAATGCCATGCTTTCTCATGATGGCGCAAATAGTACAAACACTAATAAAAATAGTAAATAAAATACTCACGTATTTACATTCATGACGTACAAGAAATGGTTACATAATAGACGGTATACAGGGTGACTTGGAGACAACTGGCGATTGGTTGCTATGCAAACATACTCCATTAAAATATGAGTTGATCCTAAAAAAGATGGAGTTCTATTTATATGAGTTATCGACAGTAAGATGTGTTTGCATGTGGGGGGGGCAATTTTTTTTAGTCTGAATCCTCCCCACTAGTGTAACATATTAAAACGCGTGTCATAAACAATGTACCTTTTATGTTTGCGATAAAAAAGCTTTGTATGCTTCTGATCCCAAGCAGTATATTTCACTGGATGTTTATTAAATCGAAAATTAAGGTTTAACAATGCATTAACATGCAAAATGTCACCTGCCATTTGTTACAGGCGCCAACCGCCGAACACGAATCGTCGAAAGCCGACCACCATCCACAAAAAGTTGGATACTATATTAATATGTTACCATTTCTGGTGGTGACATAAAACTATATTGAAAGCCACCCATCTTCACATCACAAGTGATAGACCTAATTTAATACTAGAAGTATAGCTTAGAATGCTTATGTGATACGTATCTCGGGTATGGCGTATTGTTCAGATGGTGCCTACCTAGATGAGCTATAGACTGATGGTAGTTACAATCTGCGTTGTTGAACCACATTTTGGCCAACAACCAAGTGTATTCAGGGTCAGATGGCAAGAAAACCTGCAATGTAAAGAACAATGTACAAATATGAATGATGTAGAGGTATGCATAAAAATATTAATATCAAATCAAAACCAGCTTGATGTTACTTCTTTTCGGCAATAAAATATAGAGAATAAAGGTATTGTAATTTATTCTCCAACAACGATAATATGCGACGATCTGGCTTCTTGGGCGCCGCGCTATATTTGGAATTCATCGTACCCTCACAGTCACATATGACATGTTTTGTATGGTTATAAAACATAACTACTCAAAAATGAGAGATTAATGATAAATAAAAGATTACAAGTATAAACAAGATAATTGGCAAAAGTGCATTTGAAAGACTTACTGGATTATTTTCTGAGGGTGTCTGTTCTAGCTGGATGGCAATTGGTAACAATTTTCCTCTGCTATTCACATAAAACAACCCAAGGGGTGCACACAACTAGAGGACATACAAACAGATCAATAGCGTTAGTTAAGAATATGGCATTGTATGAAAAATGGCATAATAAAATTCAAAATGGCAGATGCAGTAAACGGTATCATGTATGACAAGTTTAAATGTGATATAAGAAACATTGAAATATGTGATTGTGACATCTCTGTCTAGAAACTGTGAAAATGGATACTCTTTGGGTTTTCCTTTTTGCACTTAATTATGCTTAATATTGGGCTTATACATATGATAGTAATAACGTCATACATATCTGTCATCGTTTTGCATAACACGATCGAGAATCTCGTAGTCTATGATGTAGATTTTCTTGTTGCTAAGGCACTCTTCTAGAGTCTTTCCCTCAAGAAAAGGTTCGACAATTTCTGCTGTAACTGCGAACCTGAAACGTCAAAATGACACAATATCAGTTAGGTTTTGGTTTTAGAAGGAAGAATAGACTTTGCGAAATTTACAATTGTATGCTTTCAGGAATATTCTTCACTTTGATGTGTTGACAATAGTAAAGTGGGATCTGTAGGTAAACTGTTCACAATAAGTGGAATAACAATAGTGCACATTCTAACCTTATGTTTATTAGATTTCAACGATATTAATACAATGGATATCTTACTTGTCTGGTATTTGTTGACATTGTCGTATGACAGAAGGATTACATCCTTTCAGTCTCTGTGCCCCAAATGATTCATCTTCCGTCCACCCATGCATTCCCTGTCAATATTTATGCAAATCTGTCAATAAGATCGATATACATGTATCAGTAATTCTCAGCAAAAATGCAACTTTCAAAAATGTGCCGTAAATGTGCCGTCTAGAAGTAAATGAACCACATTGTCATAATGGGAATGTTTTAGGCATTGCCATATTGATAATGATCCAATGCTGAGATTTTTATTTTCTTAGTCTTACCTCTGGAATCCTAAACAGTGCGCCGTATATATTTTTCAGATCATCTAAGCAACTGAACTTTCCAACCATTATATCAAGCAGTTTCGAGGAAACTTTAGCTTTCACTATATCCATTTTCATACCCCACTGAAATAGAATGAATTAATAAGATATGATATAAGCAGAGTTAGTATATTTAGAAACCAAGATACTTTGCGTCTGACATTTCAAAGCAACAGAGATCATTAGTAATGGATCGTAGAATAGAATTCTTTATTTATTTCTTAATACTACATGTACTAACACGTTACAAAAACAGTAAATCATCTATTTGAAGTCATTTGGAGGCCATCATTGAATAAGAAGTCATTCATAGTTAATTTTACACGTTGAATTCGATTTTTCTATAAATGTTTTATCAAAACAGAATTACTAAGAAATTTCTAACTTGGAGGAAAAAAGATCGGAGTCCTCTGATTGGAATGCCTTTTTGCAAATATCCATCTCAAAATTTGATATTTCATCTTTTTGAAAAAAAGTTTAAAAAGAACCAAAAAGTAACTGCTAGATGAACAGATTGGAAATAAAAAAATAGAGAATTAAAATTGTTTGCTGCATCATCCCATTGAAGGTGCTGTTTCCAAATCTTTGCATGACCGCGCAGGGGGAATGCAAAAGGAAACAATGCCTGAGTGGAATGATGCACCCACAATGCTCCAGGGAAAATTGATTTGGAAGACTGAGCTTACATCAATGGGTGGCATGAGTTTTCTCTATGGTGAAATCAGATGGGCACACTAGAGCAATTCAGTTTTCCTTTCAAGAACTAATTAATAGATTGACTTAATTATAACTGTCACTATATACTTTTTTGAGAAGATGAATGGAGATATAATTGTCTCCGGAGTTAGAAAATAGTCATAATTCAAGATATTTAACTATCTGAAATTGTTTGAGATAACCTACATTTTATAATCAAACCTAAGACATTACCTCAAAGTCCTTTGTAAAAAGTTCATCCACTGGCAACTGTTTTATCTAAAATAAAACGTAACCATCAATGTAAACAAAGCCAAGATGTAAAGAATTCTTATTATGCACAAAGTGTCAGCAAAATTATCTCCGAGAAGTATATCACTCTACTATACCTAACCCCTAGAAATGCATAAGATATTCTGTTTGTCTAATTGTATTGTTTGTTATATTTTTGAAAGTACCTTATTAACATCTAACAGCCATCCGATAAACCATTCATAAGGAACAGACACATAAAACAAATAGCATAATCATTACTGATAAGCCAAATGGGTTGCTCATGAACACCAAATGCGAGGTATAGTAGAGTGGCATGTAAAAAAGTAAAGCATAAGAATGAGATTTTATAAGAAATAATACACCGAAGGCCGAAGGCCGAAGGCCTGAGGTTGTTATTTCTTATCAAATCGAATTCGAATGCTTTATCTTACTTAAATCACACAGACTCTTATCACAGGCAAAGGGTATATTATATTACAGTTAAAAGGTCTTTAATCCGGAAAATGTGATTTCTTTTGTATTGACTATTCAAACTGTGAATTTTGCCAGGCTCACAATGACCCTGGCTCTTATTGGTTAAAATGTGTTGTTATATAGCCAATTAATTGTAACAACAAAAAGAGTTGGTTGCATTGACCTCATGAGTGTGAGTTGATGTAAGTGACTGAGTGGGCTATAATTAGTCTAGCTTCAGTGCACTACAGGTGACTGTCCAGTCCAGAACATTGAATTTGAATACGGCAGAATATTTGTAAGTAAGATAAGATCTATGATGTAGATAGCAACAAAAATTGATAAATTGTTTTATTCTAAAGAATGCACAGTAACAAGAGAAGGGTACATGTATTTTTGTATGTTGTTTTTAGGGAATGAAAACTATCAAAAACTGTCAATGGTCATTTATGTCTCACTTGTTTTTGATAGCTTGCCAAGTGTACATTCTTTAAAAACAATAGAAAAATAATGCACTTTCCTTTTGATAAAACCATACATTCTTAAAAATAAACCACAGCAAATTCTATTGTGTTGCTACCCAAGTGGGATTTAATTCCAAATAAGAACCAATACAATGATGTATTCTGGATTGCCAGTTATTAATGTTATTAATGTTCGAATAAAATTCCAAAACGTTCACAGTTTCTTGCTCTTCATGGTTCATCCCAACGCGATGAAATGTAATATTAACATCAACATAAGAATAACAAGTAAAATTAACATGTGGTAACACTGTCAATTTACGACGTAAGATTGACATGAAAGTCGAAATCCAACATATATTTAAATATTTTTCGTGATGTTAAACTACAACATCGAATGTTTTCATATAGATATATAGTTATTTAAGAATATTACAAACTCATTTTTCAAAAACAAAATTCAAATTAATTAAAGTAACTACATTTCGAGGCTTTTAACTCACTTTTAACTTTTATGCATAAAAATCGTTCAGTAGGTGGAGGGAATTTTTGCTAAAATACCTGGGCAAGTCCTCCTTCCAATTTCACTTTAAACTGATATTCAGTTTGTTTTTCTGCCAGTTCTTGCTTCCGTTGTTCAATCGCAGGGTCTTGTTGGGGTAGCAATGAGTCATATTCCTGGAGTTTGATAGAAAAGCCTGCTGGAACCCACCGATGTATGGGAAATACACTCCGGTCCTTATCCTTGAACCTCTCAATCACAATTTTCTCAACATACCTTGCAAAAGTAAAAATCTTTTCTACTGATACCGGTTGCAAAATCAATATTATCAACATGCATTACAAAAAAATTCTCAATATACACCACAACGAAATAATCATTTTCTCCGAAATAATTATTTTCTCAACATACCTCGCAACACTAGAAATAATCATTTTCTCAACATACATCGAACATAATAATCATTTTCTCAATATATATCGCAACAAAAAATAATTTTCTTAACATACATCGCAACAAAAAATCATTTTCTCAACATACATCGCAGCAAATCATTTTCTTAACATATAAATCATTTTCTCAACATACATCTAAACAAAATAATCATATTCTCAACATAAATCGCAACAAAATAATCATTTTCTCAACATACACGGCAACAACAAAATAATTTTCTCAACATACATCGCAACAAAAAATAATTTTCTCAACATGCATAGCAACAAAATAATAATTTTTCTCAACATACATCGCAACAACATAATCATTTCTCAACAAATATAGCAAGTCGCAACAAAATAAAAAGTTCTCGTCATACTTTGGAAAGGTAATATTCTCAACAAAGTTATTACATGCAAAATGTCACAACCTGCCATTTGTTACAGACGCCGATCGCCGAACACCAACCACCGAACACCGTCCACAAAAAAGGTGGAGACTATAAAATGGTGACATAAAATTGATATGCTCAACATACTTTGCTATAGAATAATCTTTTAGTTGTTCACACACTTTTTGTGACTTCCATGTAACTGTTTAAACTCTGAATGTGATCAAAAAATTAAAGTGGCACCTACCAACTGTCTTTGCTGTTTGTTTTATCTCTCCAAAGGTCAAGCTGTGTGATGTGTTTGAAATCCGGACAGTTTTCCAATGGAAACGTATCTGTTTGTCCCAACTCAAAAGAATCCTTCCAACGATCATGAAGCTTAAGATCACTGGACCGTTTTCCATCTTCATCAGTCAATGCGATATAAACCTGGAATTATTGGGTATTCATTGCATGCTTTCGATTAAGTGACATAAATGTCATTAATACCGCATGACGACGTGACACCAAAAGTTCCACCCACTCACATTATGTTGCATACCTTTTTTGTCGGCAAAAATTCTGATTTATTTTCGGCACATTGAAACTAGCATCCATGAGAAAATGCAATTATAGACCTGGCACGCGTATCAAAGAAGTATTTGGCAATTGCGTCAAGTCTCTTTGGTTTTCAAGGTAAATGAAATAAGCAAAACTGGAAAAGGTCATGTGTGCGTAAATGCGTGTCAGTATTTAATTTTGAAGAAATGAATTAATTTTTTGACATTAATATTATTTGTGAAGATCACCTCTACGCAGAATTATTTTTATAATTTTTGATTGGTTCCTTCCATGAGAAAATGCAATTATAGACCTGGTACACGTATCAAGGTTGTATATAGCAATTACCCAAATGCGAGTAAGTAGTTACCAGTTTCACCACCAGGTGGCTGATTCGGGTCAATTAACATGGCAGGTATATAAGGAAGTTCCCTTAAACTTGAATATTATCAATTTAAGTGGCTCAATTTTCATATAACCCTTATGTGTCTGATACTTATACTAATGAAAATACGTCCAGTAAAGCAAAATATTATCTGTCCACTAAAAGAAAAGATATTTCATTTTTGTGGTTTTATAGCATGGGGTCTATGGAGAATCTCCCCGAGCTAGAAATCACATTTTCAAAGAAAATTAATTTTTCAAAGTTGATAAACACTTTTTAAAACCACATTTTTAGATATGATTTTACATGTAGATTTCAAATATGATATTACTTTGACTGAATTTTGAATTTTTAATAACGTAAATCAAGATTATTTCTACTCGCATCTGGGTTATTGCGTTCGGTCTCCTTGGTTTTCAAGGTAAATGAAATGAGCAAAACTGGAAAAGGTCATGTGTGCTTAAAAGCGTGTGAGTATTTAATTTTTGATAATTTTTTGACATTTTTGACATTTATTATATCTATTGGGAATCATCTTTACACAGAATTATTTTTTGATTCAAATTTAGTTCCTTCTATTAGAAAGGCATGGCTAAGATTGGTTCATATGTATAACTGTAATGAGATTTTTATGTTTGAATCGAACAAAAAGAGATAATGTCACATGTGCGTGAATGCATGTCAATATCTTATTTTAAAACTGAATTATGATTTGGCATTTTCATAAGCTTTAAACCATTGCCTTTCCACAAATTTATTTTCTTAACATGAGAACTTTAAACACGTTCTAAATAAGAAAGGTCAATGTGAATTGAATTAAAAATTTAAAAAAATATCAATTATCTGCGCATTTTCGTTATATTACGTCATACGGGATTTCGTGCTTTAAATGGGCTGAAGGTGAAGAATGGCACGTGTACAAAAACGTTTGTTACCAATTCATCTTTCAAAACACATTTTTATTTTTTACATATCTATGATCTATGATATATAACCTATGTAAAGAATTATTTTCAGATTAATTTCTAGGTTACTTCAATAAGCAATTCTGAGGTATATTTGAACTTTATTCCATAGCAGATGTAATTCGGACGAAAGTTTTAAAATTCAAGAAGAGATTAAATCAATCAAAATAAATCTTATGATTCAACCCAGTCGACAATACTTGGTTCAGTTCTTTCATTTTCAATCATACCATGGTCATAGATTAACATAAGTGACCGTTCGAAAACATACCATTTTTGTAGAAAATGAAAGAAAATCGCGTTATAACATGTATCGAGCAAGTTTACGTCTTAAGTTTGATGTGGTAAACAGCATTCTTCATTAAGTCACACATATAAGTTAAGGGAAGCAAAAGATCATTTTAAAAATGAAACATATCAATAGGTATTTTTAACATTGAAATACTTTAAGAAAGTAAGCTTATACTAGTAGATTTGTTAGAACTAGCTGTTTGGAATTCATCAACTTTTCTCCACAGGATCATTTCGTAGTACAAATGCAGGTCATTCAAAGGAAATATAGGTTTCAACATCCCCGTCTATGAATATTGATCTTTTTCAGACAGCAAATGTAAGTTTAAAACAGAAATACTTCTTACGAATCCAAATTACATTTTAAACTTAGAATTGTAATCTACGATCTTATGGGTATGTGACAAATTTGATTAGATACATTCACTCAGCACGCCGTTAAACATATAATTAACTTTAAAAGCGTAACTATAGGTAACTTCGATTTTAGTATGTTCAAGTTCTGTAGTCTCGAGAGTCATACGATTATCATAGTTCATTTGGCCTGCTTTTAGAATTGGGAAAACAAAGGCAAGTTTTATGTGTTATGAACATTCTGATTTGATAGCAAACTTTATTTTTGAGTGTATTAAATCAAATAAAGCTTATTGCGTCGGGACCTGTACGTTCGCCCAATAAAAGGCAAATGTGCCGTCAATTAAAGAAAAATGCACAGTGGTACACCGTTTTGGAAAACATAACACTGATAATAAAAATTCATCAATTGTTATGAAATTTGCACCATCATTAAAAGGAATCTCGAATTTCATGATGACAAAATATTGGATATATATAACAAGAAATAAAAATTTGTTACATTTTTTCCCAAAAAGTTTTAAAATAAAAATAAACTAAAAAAATAATATTTTCTAGACAAAAAATAAATAGTTCAACTGTTTTGATTCTACATGACCTTTTCAAGGAGTAGAGAACTAGATTCAAAGCACCGTTCCTGCAAGTTTCAAATGAAAATATTAAAAACTGCGCGAGTAAGAGGACTGCAACTTTTTATGTCTACACTGACAAAAACTTGAAATTCCCATTGTAAAGATATAGTCCCACGCGGAAGTGCACGTCATAAAGCTGATGGGTTAAGGCAATGTGCCGTCCAACTGATGGTGCAACTTCACAAGACGTTTCAGATGACTAGCTCAACTAGATGCACATTTATGAGTGGTACAAGATGTGTCATATATTACTTTGCAGGCACTTGGATTCTACACAAAAGAATGCTATCCACCTTTTGTAACATAATATTGGAAATAAGTTATAATGATTTTATCTATGACATCTATATCATTTTGTGTTTAATTGAATGGACTCTATTTCTCTGAAAGTTAAAGCAAAAATCATAGTATTTACAAAGGTATATTACAAAAGGTAGTTGCATTTTTGTGTAGAATCCAGGTGTGCCTGCAAAGGGATGGACGATATTTAGAGCAAATCTTGGAACACTCATAAAAGTGCATCTAGTTCATTAGTTGGTCTAGTCATCTGAAACTTCTTGTGGAGCTGCTCCATGGAGCCCAGTTTTAATGTGCTCAGATGTCATAGACTTCGCGGATAGACAGCTCTCTGTACGTGAAATTATTGATAGCGCTGTTTAATATTAATTATATCTTTAAATTCAACCCAAATCACTTATTTTTTAGAAATAATGCTGGTGTTTGGACATTCAATATTAAGAAGTTCTAGGTACTTTTACGTGTATTTATGTCTCTGATTATAATCATAAAGAAGGAATTAACATGCAAAATGTCACCACGTGCCATTTGTTAGAGACGCCGACCACCGAACGCCGAACACCAACCGCCGAGCAACATCCATAAAATAAGTTGGAGAGACTATAGCAATATGTCACCACTTGTGGTAGTGTTATAAAAAAATTCAAACTTTATCGAAAATTAGCATTTGAAAAACAGTACAAACATTTTACGTATATTTAAAAACAGTACAAATATTTTACGTATATTTAAAAACGGTACAAATATTTTACATACATTGCCATCAGTTCCTGCTCCCTTCTTATCCCCAGTCTTCACAAAGACATCATAATCACGTGAACCGCCCTGTCCCATCTTCCGATATTTGTTAAACGGGTAAATTCACTCCTTGATATGCGTCAGGTTGAAAATACAATCTCAACAAGTTAAGGGTTCAAAACTCACACTGAACTGCTCGACTGTAAATGGCAATCACCTTTCACCCTTTATTGGTTTTACATTTGG